TTTTAGTTTCAAGCGCTGCTTGCTTCATTATGGTGACAACAATACGAACATTCAAAGCTGTGCACAAAAATGACCTTGATTTCAAGGTTGACTTTGATTGAGGTGGTATTTCTCGAATTGATTCCGTTAGATATCAAACATGGATTATTATTATGAAACCTTATTTAATGCAATTTCTCTGGCTTGTGATAGAATTTCATTTGGTTATCCAATAGCGTTGCTCTAATGGGTTATACATTAGATAAAATAATGCCTCATTACGAATAAGGGAAATGGCAAGTGTTGACGGAAATAATTTGGGATAATTCTTGAATCATTCTGATTAGAAAGTATTGCGTTGTCATACTTGATACAGTTTGCGATTCTCATGTTCAGATCATTTATTCTTGGCACTTAAGGTCAGGCACGTTTAATTGACAATCATGCAGCCCAGAAACTACGTACATCGAAGTAGACAAGATATAAATTATTGTCCATACCTAAAGCATTAATATGGGTGATAAATATAATCAAACTCCCTTTGACCATAAAGAGAATATTTTATTGCATCACAATCGGCCAGTACTGTAGAATAATGCGCAGTCAATCCCAGTGTGCTCATTGTTCGTTTGTCGGGGTATAGTAGGCAAATCTAGACGCCTGCCTGAGATTGCGAAAGAGTTTATCACAGCATCGCCACTGCAAGACATGAGTTGTGTTTTCGATATGCATCATCCCCGGCGTTTGCTTTTTCCATTTTTTTTATTGCTATGGATGTTTGCTTTTTCGATGTTTCATTTTCTCAACCATGCATGTTTGTTTTAGACCTAGGAGGTTCGTCCAAGCTATTAGTATTTTTTGCATATTCTGATGTGGTGGACGATAAAGTCCGACAGATACCCCTTCGTAATGAGAATTATTCATGTACATGTTCGGGGTGATTAATTACGCATACATGTGTATCTCTTTACCATTCAAAGATGACACATTAGCAGAGGTTGTGCATAGAGGGCTATTAAATGCCATCAATAAAACGCGCGGCCAAGCTGCAGACCCGATACAGTTGAAGGATAGAGTGCCCGATTCTGATGCCTCTTTCTGTATTTACTCTTCCACTTACTCCTGTGGAGCAGAGTATGTTAGCTGCACGATCACCAGGCGTATCCGTGATCATCAGCTTGCGTAGTTGATAAGTGGTCACTCACAAGCGCCGGTTTGTCGCTCCTTGTTGACACCAATCACACTGTAAACGTGACTGAGGCGTTCCGATCTCTATACAGGATTAGTATGGGATACGTGCCTCCGCCGTATCCTAGCTACGGCGGAGGCAGTCAGCATCCGTCTCATCACAATGACGCGTGTTTTCGGGTAGGTTAAAAGTATCCCTTTTCCGGATACCAGAAAAGTTAGATGAAAACGAATCAGGATGAGATGGCACATGACAGTGATCAAACTTCTGGAATGGATGACTTTTCTTCATTCTAATAATAATAAGTAGTAAATGATTGACCAGACAAAACTTAGCTGGAAGCACACGACCGGTTTTGCGGTTCTTGCCGCTCGTCAGGCATGCGTATCTGGTAATCTTTTGTGAGTTCATTCATGTACTTGTACTCAAGAAGTGTATATTCGTCACAACAACCTTGTTTGCGAAACCGGGTGACTTTTAGATAAGCAGTCTATCCATTGAAAAATCAGTGCTATGAGTCGTTGTTTTGTCAATGGGTTATGAGGTACTAACCGTAAAAAACATGACTTGAGCTTCTTTATAGAATATTTCGTAATAGGTAGTGTATGATTGACCAGTGTATATATATATATAAACTTTGTACCAAAAAATGACTTTATTATAGTAATTGTAAAGAGAGGTTCCGTGATTTGCTCCCCGGGCCAAAGCAGTCGAATTTTCTTGGGGAACTCACGATCGGAGCATTTGGCTAACCAAAGCTTGACTCGCAAAGCAGTGGGTGGTGTGTGAAAACCTTTTGATATTCAATGGGTGCAGTTATTCAAAATACTTTCTTATAAAGACGCTAACTGCTTGTCAGTTTTTTCTGTCTGCGTTAACTTCTTTAAACGGACCCCTTCTACTCTAATTCTTTTAGAAATCAGTGTGTACTCGTCTGTTCGACGGGCCCCCGAACACTATAT